GGTAGCTCACAGTTATTACCTTTCTACTGACTCTGAAAAACACCAGGAGAAAGATGCCCAAGGTTCCTGATCACCTGTGTGAACATGCCATTGTCCTGCTGCAGGGAGCAATGAGGACTGCATATGTGGCCAGAGCAATAAACTGCAATATCCATAATGTAAGACGCTTAACACAGTGCAGGGAGACAGTTAGGACAGCTGATCGGCCTTGCAGGGGCAAACCATGTGTAAACACGTGTCCCCCGAGACGTGTTCATGAAGGAGAAGTTGCACTGTAGTACTTTGCAGCTGGTGGATACAGAATATACTTACTGCCACTTTTGATATTGCCCTGATTTTTAAGAAGAGGAAGACTTTCTGGTCTTTAGTCATTTAGACTTCATCGGAATGGTATAAAACTTTACTTTTGTGACACTTGTTAAATGAACACACACACACAAAATCATAAAAATGATTAGAAAAGGCGAAATGATCTTTAAAAAAGATAGTCACACGTGATCTTCACGGTCAAAAAATGATTGACATAGGAAATGATTGGGAAATATGAAAATACAGAGCAATTTTGGGGGGTACAAACTACAAATCAATCACGACTAAGTAGTATTTGATAATTTCTAAATAATAATAATTCATAATTTAGCAGACTTACAGTGCATTCAGGCTATACATTTTTTACACCAGTATGTGTGTTCCCTGGGAATGAAACCCACGACCTTTTGTGCTGTTAACACAATGCTCACCACTGAGCCACAGGAACAACACACACACACACACACACATGGAACCTTATTGTGTTACTGCAAAACCTAAAAAAAATGTAAGTACTTAATTATGTCTGATATATATAACCAAATATGGAAAACAGTCCTATATATATAGCTATACAGGTGACAATTTATAAAAAAAATTTTATTGGTGTTATGAAGTATTCTAATTTGTTGAGATAGTGAATTGGTGGGTTTTTGTTAAATGTGAGCCAAAATCATCACAATTAAAAGAACCAAAGACTTAAACTACTTCAGTCTGTGTGCATTGAATTTATTTAATACACGAGTTTCACAATTTGAGTTGAATTACTGAAATAAATGAACTTTTCCACGACATTCTAATTTATTGAGATGCACCTGTACATGCATCTACTGGTTGCACCATGGTAGTACATATGATTTTCTTTATTTTTCAATTTAAAGTATTTTTTGTATGATTGTGCTTGCATACAATATTGCCAAAGCATCATACACAAAACCAGTCATGACAAGAAAAAGAAATATACAGTAGGCCTATAACAATAATTCGTTTTATTTCTCCCACCAGATGGCACCAATCTGGTTCCATGTTCCATGCACTGGGTTTTAGATACCCCTATTTTTAATTTAAACACTATATTAACTGAAAATAATATATTTTCTTAATTTTTTTATGTTATATATATAAATGGCATAATTTAGAGCTGAATATTGTCTAGTACCACGAAAACTCCTCAAAACACAGAATATTTAAAAACAATATATATCAAACTTATTGAAACAAAATATAGTACATTAATTTAATAAAATAAAATAAAAATTATGACCCATATGTGAGGTAACCTATACCAGAGGGTTAACGCAAGAATTTAAGGTAATCCAACACCGCTAATCTGCGACCCTTGTTCATGTCGGTCTCGAGAACAAAAGAATAGTCATGCGTGCGTGGCACAAAGCGGCAACACTTTTGCAATAGTTGTACATGTAAACACCTGTGCTGCAACACTTGTGGATGTCTCCACTACACGTGAGCGCCCCGCACATCTCGAAGGGCCTTTTATTTCATATTAATCATGCTGCATGTCCGTGTGTGTTTGTTTAGATGTCATGGCTGCGTGGCGCACGCACGCACGCAACTGCTGGCTTTTTTTAATAACTGTCTTTTCGTGACTGAATCATAAAGAGGACAGTTGGAGTTTAATTGAATAAGGGAGCAGAGGAGAGAGAGAAAGAAAAAGAGAGTGAGAGGGAGGGACTCGATGTGGCCATACAGGCTGCGGAGTGTTTATTTATTTGTGCTGGCTCCCCTTTTTCTTTCTTTCTTATTATTTTTCAACTGATTTTCCAAAATGAGGTTAAAAGTTGGATTCATCCTTCGAAGTTTACTGGTCATTGGCACGTTTTTGGGTCTGGTTTTGCTTTGGTCTTCCCTGACACCGAAGGCAGTCGACGATAACCCGTTTGCTGGTGTACTGGTAAAGTACAGCTTTAATGTTCTTGAGTTATTTTGAAATCTGAGTGTTTTCGTTGTGCTGTTAATTTTACCCTATGTTAGTATTCAGCAGGGTCGGCTAGCATGATGATTAGCATGCTAACTGCTGCGGTTGTCATGGAGATGAGCAGCGAGAACTGACCGATGAATGAAAACAGACACAGACGTTTATATTTATCCTGTGTTTTCATTCAAATTAACTAAAACACGCAGATATGGCTGTAAACTGCTAGCACGGAGAGCTAAATGTCGCTCTCTACATCCTCATAAGTGTCAAATTCAGCGAAAACCCGGAAGGTCGTGACTGTAGTTAACGTTACTGGTTCTCTGGTTACACGCATCATTTATGCAAAATCACATAAAAAGCAGCTGTTTTCAATTAAAATGTTTATTTCCTGTGATCCTTCGAGGGGATTTGCAGTATCAGTACTGATTATGGACTAAAGGGGTCTTCGAGATTGAATGGGGGGGTCGATATGCTTGCAGACTGAGTTAAAGGCCGATTATCAGCTCGACAGAAACGAGTGTACAACGACACACTTCACTGCTTTCACAAGAGATTGTATAGAAATGCAAGTGTGAGCGCACTGACACGTGGCACTTGACAGCTTTCTGTCAATGGCTGTAACAGCTGTCTGGTTTACCTTGGCTTGTCATTCTGGCATTGAAGTTAACGTTAAATTTATTTGAACTGCTTTAGAACAGACTAGAGCATACATTGTTTGTACGGAGTCTCTTCTTTGTTTACTCGCTTCGCTTTAGGTTGTGTTTTGCATAATGGGTTCTTATGTAAATGTTTACTTGAAATTTCTTGTATCAGTCTTTGCATATGGAAATAATAGTCAGAATCTATAGTTTATAAATAAAACAGTTGATTGAACCTTTATACAATATAAAATAATTTTTTATATATATATAAAAACCTATAACCCTAAAAACCTGGTTTTCAGGGGAGCCCATGTCTTATTAAGGGGAGCCGAGCTCCCCCTAGCTCCCCCGTAGTTCGCACCCTGGATTTAGGCCATAACATGATTACGTTAGGGCATTTGTATTGGTTGAATTTCCTTAAAAGATACTGATTTGTTGGTGAGTGTACACCGTGATACCAACTTTTGTCTGAAGATGTCAGTGTTTTGTCTGAAGTGAGGTTTTGCTTCAGTTTACAATTTACTCTTGCCTTCCTCATAAGACAAACACGCTGAAGCATGTTAACAGTGAATCATTTTGTCGTTTTAAATCTGATATCTTTGTTTGCTGGCGCATCCGGGTTTTTTAGAGGCAATTACTTCGGCCCTTGTGAAAATGACATCGCTCATTGCGACATGAAAGGAAACAGACAAGAAAAAATATTCATCCATATATTTCATGCATTTAGAGCCCTCCAAATAATCAATCTCGTATATAACATATTCTAGCCTATATAAAAAAATTCAGAATACACTGCTACCTTTGAATGGACGTCAATTTGAGATTTGCTGTTTGATTTGAGGAAAATAAGGTCAGTGGTTAACATTACTTAAGAGATCCTAACTCTAACCTTTGTTTTGAATTTCAAAGCCAGCTTGCAAAATGAAGACTGAAACCATCTCAAGGATGTGGGTGATTCTGACAACATTTGTAGTTCTGCTTATAGTAACTTCTTAGCAACTTAAGTTATTAAAATTCACATTTGAAGTATGTGAGATTTATATTCTAGAACAAAACATGAAAGTCTCTTCAAGTAATTTCTTCAAGACCATATTTTACACACAAATCAAAAACTGGTATTCAAATAACCCAATAGAAATTCTCTAGTGAACACAAGATGAATTAGCCCTCTGAGTTGGCCTACAAATTGACGTCACAACCGAACATTCTGTGCTAAATTTAGCTAAAACATGTAAGTAAATAGCATCCGTCGCAGTAGTTTCAAAGAACAGTTAGCATTAGCACTAAGATGGTGACAGCTTGTTTATGAGTAGTGCAGCACACCCCGATCTCCAGTGAGACTGAACGTCATGGGCGTGAGTTGCTCTTCCAGTTGAGTGGCTTTACTGTGCCATGTAAGACAAGTTAGGCCTTATGACTTGTGTTACATGGGACTTAACTCTGATGCTAAAAGAGGCTAAACTGCCATAAGAAAAAAGTGTTGCTCTGCCAGTATGTTGCAGACAGGAATCATTATTTTTAATGGGTTTTTGGAGGGAAATGTTGTGTTTGTTACAACATATAGGTTAATGAGTTTAATCTAGCCCATATCACATGCATAGGCTTGGCTTAGGCAGGTCTATGTCCTATTTACTTTGGGCATCAAGAGTTTCCTAATGCATACATTTTCTATTTTCTAAGCTGCTTAAGCTTTTACTTTAAAACTGATGTTTGCACCATATAAGAATTTGTACATAAACTAAACCCTAGTGCAAATAACTCACCAGGAGCCTACAAACAAAGCCAACATTGTTTTAATTATTATGCTTTTTTTTGTCCTTATTCTTCAATTTCATAGCTCAAGTAGGCCTATCATTGTATCGTTTTTTTCCAACTACCTCTATATTTCTACTATGAGAACCTAAAACATTTTTTTTAAAATAAGATTTGAGTTTGTGCTATTCATTCTGGCCCTACACACAACTGTCACTTATCTACTGAAAGTGAATGAAACTGGATGAAGAAACTTTAACTTCGAGCTTCAGTAGAGAATGAGGAAGTGTGTTTGGGCATTGCTGTCCCCTTATTCAGAGGAAACAGTTGCTGTTTCCTGTCTCACAAATTGCTTCCACAGGATGGAGGTGGATGCAAGTGTGTAAGAATCTACCACTAATGCATATACAGTCAGTCTGTGCAAGTGCACAACATGAAATCAACTCCACAACAACATTTGCTTCCAAAATAGTGTGCTTTATAACTATGTGTATTTGTCTGTAGGTGTAAATACTGGCACTATGATGAAAACCTCCTCACCTCCAGCGTGGTCATTGTCTTCCATAATGAGGGCTGGTCCACACTGATGAGGACGGTACACAGTGTCATCAAAAGAACCCCAAGGAAATACCTGGCTGAGATCGTCATGATTGATGACTTCAGTAACAAAGGTAGTGTGAACATTGTTTTAATTTCTTCATTAAATACTCTACATAGCACATGTGTGTACTCTGTGCTTTTCAAATTTTTTTTTTTAATTCAGCACAGGTACTGGCATTATTTTGTGCAAAAAAAATACCAAAGTCATATTTACAATGCAAACATGGAAAAGAAAGGTGCATTGATGCCAGTGTCTCGGGGAGTAGCTAACTATATTACAACTTAACATTCTTCAGTAGTGTGAGAGTAACTCAGCTGCTTTCAAATCAGTATAGATATTTCAATAACTGAAAGTAGTATTGCTGTTTTTTAAGTCCCTTGCACATTTTATTGTGTTGCAACAGACGAGTAAAAAGAAGCAATAATCAAACACTCGTTCCTGTCCTCCTTATCAAAAACCATTAGGAAGTCTGAATCAAAGTAAATTGGTTGTCTTGTCCATTTGGTAATTTCAAAGAAATGATTTAAAACAGTTTCCCAATTCATTTCAGTGAAGTGTTCATAACTGTTTTCTTCTTAGTTATACACATTACGTTAGAGAGTTTTCAAATTTTATTGTATTTAGTGTGAATTAATCTGTAAAGTACAAAGTAAATTAAATAATCTGATGCCCATTTCTGATGCTGATTCTCATTGAATTAAAGTTGTGAAGAAATATAAGTAGAGATGTTCATCCGAGTGAAACGGATTATTGAAAAAATGTAGGACAGGAACTTGTTGATTGGATGGAGGCAAATCTACTGAATACAAGCTTGGGGTCAATTATGAGAAAGGGGTGGGGTTTAAGCAAACAAAATATTCAGAGAAGTCAGGCATAGGTCACCATAGAGAAGTCTTGTTTCACTGGAATTTTGACATTTTTATTAAAAATTATAGTGTTAAAAAAATGTAAGGAAACTTGTGCACAGATGAATTCTTCACAATAAAATCAAAAACATTCCTAATTTTAATGTTGAGAAACTGTAGTACTTCAAAATAACTGGAAAAGCTTAATGTCTGTCCCTATTTGATATCATTCTCCAAAATATGAATACAGCATTTTTATTTGGCTTTTTGATGGCCGTCAGTTCTCTAAATACTGATTTACATGTTCTGGCTGTTTTGGATTGTCACTGTCTTTCAGCAGTTACTGGGTTTTCAGGTTTAAGAATGTGAAGCATGGTTTTAGTTTTGATACCCCTTCTCTAGAGAGTCTATTCTGCACTCCTAAGTGAAAGAGATATATCGTTGCCACAACCTGTAGGCGGTCTGCCTGAAGACTAATGCTGAGCGCTTGTTCATTAATATGGGGCAAGCAGACTGTTACTGAATGGAGATCATTACTCTTTAAGAGATCGCTCCCAGGGGAACTATGAATGAATGCAGTGCTGCGACTTGGCCGATAAGAATCAATAAAGGGCGTATAGGCTCAGAATGTTTCAGGCATTTAGTAATAAAGGTCAGTAAAACTTTGTTCAGGCCGCACACAGTTTCGATTTGTTTTTCAAATGCAATCTTTAGGGCTCACTGTCTGCACTTTTTTGCAAGTGGTCAGATTGGATCCACTTGTTCTGGTATAATTAATGTATGGTATATCTGCGCTGGTTGCTTATAGTAATGATGTAGGTGTGAGCAATATGCCAATAACTTTCTTTTACATCTGAGTAGCAAGCTATAATTAAGATGTGCAGTCAGAAAGCTGGAAATTTTGCCTCTACACGTTATATCGCTTATGGCATATTGCCATGGTGCTCATGAGGTACATTATATATATATAATATATATATAAAAGAAGTGATTGATTATATGTGTTCTCTCGTTAGTTCATCTTAAAGAGAAGCTGGAGGAGTACATAAAACAGTGGAATGGGTTGGTCAAACTGTTCCGCAATGAAAAGAGAGAGGGTCTGATCCAGGCCAGGAGCATAGGAGCCCATAAAGCCACTCTGGGACAGGTTTGGGCCCCATAATCAGCATAATGTTAAATGGGTCTACATAAATGTGATTTGTTTGTGTCACACTGTGGTTCTGTCCTCAGGTGCTGATCTACCTGGATGCTCATTGTGAAGTTGGGGTGAACTGGTACGCACCGCTGGTGGCCCCCATTTCAAAAGACCGGTATGATTTAAGCTCTAGGATGATTTTGTGCCCACTGAAAGAGACTTGGTTTAAAATGCAAATGCTGGGCTATAGAAGTGTTCTTTTCTATTCATGTTGATTTCATATTTATGAAAAAAATTATAAATTTTTTTTTGTATAAATATATATATAGTTTTCAACGTAATGACCCTAAAAAGGTCATGTGGTGTAACCAAAAAATAAATTGTAATGTTTTCCTTGCACCTTGAATACAGGTGAGTGTGCACATCATTTTTTTTTAATATAAATATCATGAATTCATAAATATCATTACATTTTTGTAGAGTTGCACCACACAACATTACATACAATCTGAACTCTTTTGTCATAAAAAGGTGCAATTCGGTATTTTAAGAGACTTTTACGAGTGTCTGCGGGGATCTCCTCTATGAAATAATCGTGTTTTATGTTTCTGCATTTTGATTGGACCACATGACTAGTTTTTTGGACAAGTTATTCAAATATTCATATAAAATATAATTTATTTTTTTAAATTTTCTTTCTAATGTACTACCCAGTTATTTTTTATTTTCTTTTTTAAATCTTAACCTAAATGTATGTTGTGTTAATGTTGCAGAACGGTCTGCACAGTACCGTTGATAGATTACATAGACGGCAATGATTATACCATAGAGCCACAGCAGGGTGGGGATGAGGACGGTCTGGCGCGAGGCGCCTGGGACTGGAGCCTCCTGTGGAAAAGGGTCCCTCTCAGCAGCAGGGAGAAGGCTAAGAGAAAGCATAAAACAGAGCCTTATCGGTAAACTTCCACCCTCCAATAAGCATGATCATTAAAACCATTCTGTCTCTCTCTTGTTTTGTCTCCCCATCCCCTTGTGTGTGTGTGTATGTATGTCCATGTTTGCATGCATGGACCTCCCCCTTGCCTCTCCTCCATCCTCTGTGGCCATGTTCAGAACGGTGTGCACAGTGCCTCTTATAGACTCTATTAATGGCAAGACTTTCACCATCGAGCCGCAGGGGGGTGGCGACGAGGATGGCTTTGCCAGAGGAGCATGGGACTGGAGCATGCTTTGGAAACGCGTGCCTCTGAATAGCAAGGAGAAGCAGAAGAGACTAACTAGAACTGAGCCCTATCGGTAATTTAGAGCCACAATCCTGAGCTGATTATGGCTGACCACAACACTCATAAGTGGAGAGACCTTGTCTCTCACTTATAAATACTGGTGGTGGTCTGCTTCTCTCTACTTTTTTAACAGTTCAGCTTTTACGACGCTTATTAAATACTTCCCGCAAAGTGCTAAAGCTGTGTAGTAACTGCTATGAAGTGGTCATAAAACAATGAAGTGATTTTAACAAAATACTTCATATATTATGACTCCACTATGGCTGTTCTGGTTGAGTCGCTCAACTACTAGAACTACTAAACTAACGACTCCTAGACCTTGTATCTGCTTCTCTTTGCATGCAGTCTCCATTCTGTCTTGTCTACGAACTTATCTTTCCTGTGGTAGTGACTTGGCATAAGCGTACCCAAGTGCACATGCGCCTAGTCACCAAACAGGAGAAAGTGTGTATGCTGCTTGAATTTTTACTCGAAATTCTTTAAAATGTTATAATATGGTGCTTTCTGTCTACTTCCCTGCAATTAAATTTTCAAAAGCTGTTAGTTGCTACAAGCAAGTAGAAAAGAAACACCAGAATTTTGCAGAAGGCACTGAGACAAAACATGGCCATTTTTTATTTAAATGAGATTTTATATATATATTTTTTTAAGTATGACAGCATTTTACTACTTGTTCTGGTGTCTCTTTGGCTTTGTTCATACTGCAGGACAAAATCAGATTTTTCCCTCATAAATTTGATTTTAATATGTATTTTTTTAGACCAACTGTTCAAACTCAAGTTACCTGTGACAAAAAAAAAAAAAAACAGCAAATCCGTTATGAACATTTAGGTTAAGACATATTAGCAAAAATTTGTAAAGCTTGTAAAATTTTTCCAGACAAAATAAAAAATCTAAATCTAAATGCATTTCAGATTTTTACTGCCAGTCTGAACAAAGCCTGGTCGCTTAATGTTGTAAAATACTGTACTGTATGTGTGTGAAACGTAAGGTGGAAACATTCCTGACAGGAAAATATGTGTGTCAGGTCTCCTGCGATGGCTGGAGGACTCTTTGCAATAGAGAGAGAGTTCTTCTTCGAGCTGGGCCTCTATGATCCAGGCCTTCAGATCTGGGGAGGAGAAAACTTTGAGATCTCCTACAAGGTATTTTTACTTTAAATTGGTTTTTATTTTAAATTGGTTTTTACTTTACTTTAAATTGGTTGTGGTCTCTCAACTGAAAATTTTACTAGATTTTTTGTCTTTCACCAGAGTTTGCATACAAGGTAATTCTGTGTTTGCACGGTTATAATGATCTTTGTCCAGGGCAACACTTGACTGCTCAACATTTTTCTTACATGGCTCTGCATGTGTTCAGTCTTACCAGCTGACTCTAGTAGGATAATAAAATAATTTTTACTCAAATCAACACTTCATGCCCATATATTGATTTAAGTAATCTACAGTCAGACAGTCTTTATCACAAAATAAATGGTTAATGTTGCCATGAATATAGCCATTGTTGCTGATGTTGCCTTAAAACCTAAATAAACAAATTATCACAAAATAAAATTCTTCAGGGCAATATTTCTATATTAATTGCACAGAGCAACATATTTATCCAAATTCGGCAGTTTATTTGTGCGTGAACACTTTCTGAATCCCTGCCATGTGTGTATGTCCCGTGTAGATATGGCAGTGTGGTGGGCAGCTTCTGTTCGTGCCATGTTCACGGGTGGGGCACATCTACCGTCTGCAGAGCTGGCAGGGAAACCCACATCCTGCTCATGTAGGCTCATCCCCCACACTTAAGGTCAGTTCAGCTCTTTTTTTTTACACTTTAAATCCAGTCTGTAACCTCCACTCTCCTCTTTGGCTGCGTGTAGAACTATGTGCGGGTGGTGGAGGTGTGGTGGGATGAGTATAAAGACTATTTCTACGCCAGTCGGCCTGAGACTCTGACGCTGGCCTACGGAGACATCAGCAGCTTGAAGAAGTTCAGAGAGGAACATCGCTGCAAGAGCTTCAAGTGGTTCATGGAAGAGATTGCCTATGACATCCCTCTACATTACCCACTGCCTCCAAAGAATGTGGAATGGGGAGAGGTGCATATATAATCAATAGAAAGAAAAATACAGTTGAAACTGGTTTAAAGATATTGGCATTTGTCATCATTCAGTCGTTTTCTTTCAATAGATTCGTGGGTATGAGACCAGCTACTGCATCGACAGCATGGGCCACACCAATGGTGGCAATGTCGAAATTGGGCCTTGTCATAGAATGGGTGGGAATCAGGTAAGGGAAAATGATTTAGTAGCAGTACTTTGCTTTTCACAGTTTTTATAGCGTCGTCCCCCCCCCATTTTTCTTATGCCTTTCTCCAGCTCTTTAGAATTAATGAAGCAAACCAGCTCATGCAGTACGACCAGTGCCTGACAAAGGGAGGAGACGGATCTGCTGTCATCATAACACACTGCAACTTAAATGAGCACACAGAGTGGAGATACTTTAAGGTATGTCACAGGAGGTATCGAGCCTCTTTTGGCCTTGGTGCCTAATCAATTAAACTAAAATTTTTATAGCAAAGGTGACACTTTACAATAAGTTTCAGTAGTCTAACACTAGGTTATGTAATAGCTAGTGCTGGTTAAAGATGGTTAAACATGTATTAGTATCTGTAAAATTCCAAGTATATATATATATATATATATTAATAGTTCAGGAGTTTGGCGTCTAAGATTTTATTTAATGTTTTTGAAAGGAGTCTCTTATGCTCTCCAAGGCTATATTTATTTAATGAAAAATACAGTAAAAACAGCAATATTGTGAAATATTATTATGAATTAAAATGTTTTTTTTTTAAATATATTTTAAAATGTAATTTACTCCTGTGATGGCAAAGCGGAATTTTCAGCAACCATTGCTTCAGTCTTCAGTGTCACATGATCGTTCAGAAATCATTCTAATATGCTGATTTGCTGCTCAGGAAACATGTTTTATTATTGTCAATATTGAAAACAGTTGTGCTACTTCATATTTGCCTGAAAACCATGATACTGTTTTTTTTTTTTTTGGTGAATAGAAAGTTAAAAAGAAAGGCATTTATTTGAAATAGAATATTTTTGGTAACAATGTAAAAGTCTTTACTGTAATGTTTGATTCATTTAATGAGTGCTTAAAGGTACTCTGTGTAACTTTTGGCACTCTAGTGGTTAATAATAAACAAAACTGCATGCATCTCGTTGAAGAACATTGTAGATGGAGCTACTTCTCTGTTTATGGTTATGACAAGTCATGCAGGTACTGGGCTACTCTGCAGCGGTTGTCGTCCTGACAGGTCTAAAGTCGTCCTAATATTATATTTTAGGCATACCGTAGTGTAGTGATTCAGGATAAGACAGAAACACGGTATGGAAGATGGAATCATGATTTACTTGCTCATTATATAAATGTTGTACTTTAAAACAAAAAAAAGTTACATAGTCTTACCTTTAACCTTAAAATTGACATAAAGTTACCTTTAATGAATAAAAGTATTATTTTCTTTAAAAAAAAATGTTATTGACCCCAAACTTTTGGACAACAGTAAAATGTAAAAACATAATATGCTTTAGTGAACAGATTGTTAACTAACATGAAATAACAATGAACAATTGTCTATAAATGTAAGCAAAATTAATACAGTATTAGTAATAAATACTGTAAGTATAGTTTTCTGTTAGTTTATGATGCCTAATTTAAGAACTTTATTGTAAAGTGTTGGCAAACTTTACTCTGTACCTTGCTGTATCGATTCTTCAGTTAACTTTTCCAGTGCTTCTGATTTCTCATAGGATCTACATCGATTCACACATATACCTACAGGGAAATGCTTGGATCGCTCTGATGTCTTGCACAAAGTTTATATAGCTGACTGTGACAACAGTAAGAGCTCACAGAAGTGGGAGATGAACAACATTGTGGCAGTTTGAGAGCCATGCTCAAATGTGCTACAAGGATAAACACTTGACTACAGCAACAGGTTTTACCAGTATACATGTGACTAGTTTTAGTCATCACCCGAATAACTCTGAAAACTGATCATAAACTTTTTTTTTTCCTCCATTGAAGACAATGTTTACATCGGTTCATCCCCAGTGCCCATCGCATGGGTTTTTCTTTGGAATCTGTGGATCGGAGAGGTCTACCTAACAGAATGTTTTTCACAGAATGTGCACAATGTGTGCTGAGATGAATTATCTAATACCACTTTTGTTGCTGCTCCATTATAAAAAAACAGGTTGTCCGTCAAGTACTGGGATTCATATCTTTTTTTTAACACTGGACCTTCATCATGTTTGAGATGACAACCTGCTACTTGAACTATTTTCGTCTTTGGCACAATGGCACATTTTTTTGCCATATACTATGGATAAAGCATGGGAATGGAGGGAAATGGGGACATAGGGTCAACAATGAAAAAAATGTGATACATTTATTTTTATCTACTGCATAAATGTTTGCTTGGTTGGGGAGAATAGATGTTTACTTTTATGTGAAAATCAGCGATTGATTATAATACTATTCATGGCCAAAAATCATTTCGAGCAATTGGAGCAAATTTATGTTTCAAGGGCAAGAAAGATTGCAATGTGTACATTTTTGTTTGTTTTGTACAATGTAAATATGATTATTTCTAAATTAACATTTTGAGATATGGTGGGCTTCCCAATGAAGGTGTAAATATCTAAGTTATAATGGCTGTTTTCTCAAGAAAATAAATGGAACATTTTTACCAGTCTGCTGTATTAAAGTGCTGTTTTTAGCAGGTTAAATGATAATTCAACTATTTAGATGATCATGAGGATTAAGTTAGAACTTTCCACAAATAGGGTACCCCTTAGTATCCTTTTTTTTAGGCATACATCACATCTTTTCTGTAGGAAAAATTGTTAAGATAAAATATCTACTATAATACCGAACCATGAAAAGTAGGTCACTTTAATTGTTTAATGCTGATGCAGAAGCCATGATGTTGTTTCTTGAGTAGTTGTTCCAAATTGTATCCAAAAGAGTTGCAAAGCTAAAATTAAGAAGCCAAACTGGTTATATTTAATTGGTCAACATTATTGTTTTCGGAGTTCCTGAAATAACCACCTCCCTTTATTGATGAAAAAATGTCATGCTATTTTGGACTCTATTCTTGGAAAGTGCCTACTAAAGCAGAAATTATCCCAAGCATTTGAATAATTACAAGACAGTTTGTGTGCTAGTGAGGTTGTTCAAGGCAATAGCTTGTGGAGGAGAAGCAGCTGTGCAGCAGTCTTAGTGATACAGGTGAGCAGATGTCATATGATATACAGTACATCTTACTGCATAGAACATACCTAACCTATATATAGGATCACTTATCACATGACCAAGCTAAAGGACATCGCAGCCCAAACATAAATCATGCATGTACTTTAGCATAACTCTGGTTACAAAGGAGGTTGCATGTGCATTTATGGCACTTATTTCCCAGATCAAGTCATCCACTGGTGAGATCAGCATTTCCTTCTCCGATGAGTCAACCAACTGACAAAATAAGGTCCAAAAATAAACAAGTTTAAGATGACGGTTACACCCAATCACAAGAAACTAAGCCCAACTGAAAAATAGCAAGTGTATTAGAAGCACAAAACTCTGCTTGTAAAACTAGGAGTACATACAGAACAGCTAATAAAACAGCTAAAGCGGCACAATGTAAACTAAAAGGTTTTTATTTTAAAAGCTAAGTTTCATAGTTTGCCTAGCCCATTAATAGCTTTTGTATTTCAATAATGTCAGTTACTCAAGCAGCACTAGCTGAAATTCTGCAAAATTCTTTTATAAGTCAAAATTGCACACAGTGAAAAGGGGAATTGGTCATAATATACAAAATGTAAGAAAAAAAAAAAATAATAATTCAGTCTACACATCTTCAAAGCTCATTTAAAAAAAAAAAAAAAAAAAAAAAAAAAAGACACTACACAAATTCAAACTGTTCCTTATTTGTCTTAAAATGGCAGTAGAAATAACAGGGAAACCAAAGCAACCACAGCTATCAAGACAAAAAGCAGTGCTTAAAATAAAAAAAAAATAAAAAACCGGTTACATTTACAAAACAGCACATGACCTCAATATGTATTCAATTATACACATTTCTGTACATGTATTGAAAAAAAAAAAAGCTAAAAAATGCATTCACATTGTTTTGCAAACAACTCGGCTCAAGTTTTCCCTGATAGTTTAATCATCATCATCATCATCATCATCCTCGTCCTCGTCCTCAACATCCTCCTCATCCTCATCCTCGTCATCGTCCGCTTCTGCCTTCTTTCCTACTGGCCGGCCAGGTCCGCCCTTCTTGCCACCATCTGCTTTGGCGCGATATGCAGCAACCTCCTGGTTGGAAATTTTTGTTAATATGAGCAAAACTGCAAATTGTTATTGGAAGTACCTGAAATTGGGCCACACTTTACCTTTTCATACTTCTCCTTGAGCTTCATGGCCTTCTGCTCATATGGAGCCTTTTCCTTTGGTGAAAGCTTGGACCACATCACCCCAAGCTTCTTTGCAATATCACCAATAGAGATGCCAGGGTTGTCGTTCTTCACTTTTGGGCGATGGTCAGAGCAGAAGACGAAGAAAGCAGATCTGATGGTGTAGAGAGGAAAAAAAAAA